AGCAATTATGTACATTCAGTCTAAATTAGCCCCCCCCCCCCCCAGAGAAGAGGAGAAGCAACGTCGCGCCATAGTTGAGCCCCGAAACCCAATTTTTGCGCCAATTTTTATTAATTTTTGTTGCCGTCAAGAAAATGTTGGGATTTGTTGAACTTGAAATGCAAAATGAAATTATTTCAGTTCGATGAACAATGCATGGAATTCAGTTTTCATTAATATTTTCCAATTAATAATTATCTGGGGCCTATCGAAAAGTTCCAGGACTCTATCTCTTCCACGTGACAACACTCCTATGATCTTGGCTTGTATAAGTAGCCGAAAATCTACTGCTGTAGTTAGTGTTAGCAGTTCGGACTGGAAAAATGGAGTGGAGTTTAGAGAAAAAAGTGAAAGCTGCTGCGTGGACTATTACTTACGACAACGATTGTGAGAGTGCACGACGGTTCACGAGAGAATTCAACCGTCCTGTACCGTATCGTAAAACGATTGCTGCTCGGAAGAAGCCAATAGGAACAGGAAACATATCTGAGAGGCCGAGGTCGGGGAGACCACGCATCAGCAGCTGTCCACGGAAAGAACAGTCAGTGCAGGAAACCGTACTACGAAGCCCACACAAGTCTTTGCGACAAATCGAACGGGAGACAGGAATTTCCAAACGAACTGCCCACCGTATCCTGCAAATAAGAGGATATCACCCCTGCAATAATACCCTGGTCCATGGACGATCCTGACCGTATGCTGCAGTTTTGCGATTGGGTGTTGGCAAGTGTCAACTATACGAGGTTCACATTTGCCAATTAGTTCTCTCTGATGAGGCAGTGTTTCGCCTAAATGTTAATAGGCACAATTGACGTCACTGGAATACTGCCGATCCCAATATCGTCTTCTCATCGCCATTAAGTGACTGTTTGGGTCGGCTGGGATGGAGTGTTGGGTTACCGTATCCTGAACGACACGACGAATTCCGAATGTTACTGCGGCATTCTCACGGACGTCGTGATAACATGTCTGACAAGGCCACAGTATCGTAACCACTTCTTTGAACACGATGGTGCACCACCGCACTTCGCCCTTGCCACGCGTCGACTTTTGAACGAACAGCTGCCAAGAAGATAGATAGGCCGCAGAGGAATGGCCTCCAAGACCACCGGAATAATCGGCATGTGATTACTGGCTGTGGGCTTTTCTTAAAGAGAATGTGTATGGTGCAAACCATCTTACCATCCCTGACCTCATTACCACCATTTCGGCGCCATCTCCGTTCACGTGTGCCGCAAAGCAATGGATGACTTCCCGCGCCGATGTCAGCTGTCAGATGTCAGATCAGGAAGGACAGCAGTTTCAGTGGCTATCGCATTGAATTACAGAAAGTTATGTTTATAGTGTGTGTGTGTTTTAGCGATTATCTGGTGCAATAAATGATAATATTTAAAAAGTTGAGTCGATTCATTTTCTTGCATTTTCCATCTATAATCAACTAGCTACAGCAGTAGAGGAGGTTCTCGGTTATTTATACATGCCAAGGTCATCGGAGTGTTGCCACGTACATAGGTATATACGAATAGATATATACAATGTTGAGGCGGGACTTCTGGAATACCAACCATGTACGAGATACAGAAGTTAGGTTTCAGTGCGATCCCATTCGAAATAGTTCCCTTGACTTTCTATACACTTCTCCCTAAATTTTTTAAGAGCTTGGAACACTGGCTGTAATCCATTGCTGACAACCTCTTTCGACGCGTTGGCTGCAGCTGACTGGAAAGCGTCTGTGCCGTTTGAGCGGCGGTCCCTCGGAAGGAACTTCATTCCCGGAGACAGCGTGGAGTCACAAGGCTCTCGGGGTCCAGCGAGCACGGAGGACGGGGGAGCGATGGCACGCATCGAGCGCTGCGGGAATCCTTTAATCGCAATGCGATAGGGACGATGTGAAAGCTGGTGATGGTGCTTTAAACAGTGGTTCTGCGTTTTTTAGGGGTTACCTCGAATACGGTGATGATATCGACGAAAAAAAGCATCGAATAACCAACTGCGGGACTGCAAGAAAAGAATACAGGAAGCTAGACGTCTAAAAGCCTTCGGTAGGAAAAAGAGAAAAAGATCCGTGTCGGATGAGACCGGAAAATCAATGTAAGGAGACTTCTGGGAAACAAAGATCGCACGCGATCACGAGGCGTCGAATGGCAAGCGGTGCCATGTCCTTCAAGTCCTTCATGTCCTTCATATAGAGTCTGGATATCCCCACTGTAAATCCGAAGGCATCTAATATATATAGACGATCGTGACTGACTGACTGACTGACGCTAATTCTAACCATGTTCTAGAGAAGTTAGAAATCTGAAACTTGGTACACATGTACCTTTTGNAAAAAATGAATGAATTAATCACTATCCAAGGTAATGGAGCGCCGAAAGAGCGACCATAGCGACCAGCGAGAGGCAAACAAACTCGCTAGTTCATAAATATACCGAAAGGAACGACGCGTTTGACACGAGGAAAAGGTTGACTTGGAAACGCGAGGACCTTCCTGCCTCCTGGACCTTCCAACAACCACCTCGTGTTACGGCCTGACGCCCTCCAGTAACCAGGGCATTATAAGCCCGTAACGACCAGAACTCAGATGGTCGTATGTTTAACTCTTTCTTTCATCTCTTCATTCCCGAAGAATCTCTTCAAAATACCTTGTTTCGTTACAACCACAAGTCTTCACGAAAATACACCGAGTATCGAACTTTTCAAGTTCACGGCGTAGCCATCACAAATGACTAAGTTTTATTATTCTCAGGATCCATTGGACCCAGAATGGTAGCGACAGGGTAAAAGTGTCGCGATTCCTCTTCGTCCTGCCGACCTTTCCGTTCTACGAGAGTGCGAATTCGACCCGTGTTCGATTCCCAACTGCAACGTCGTATTTTAACGTTTCCTCCTCGGGAAGACATCTTTCGAGAGCAATCGTGATGACTTCGGGAAAAGTTGGGCGATGCACCACGATGCAACCGTCATCGAGGCGAAAATTGGAAACTTTCCCGACGAACCTCGTAGCTGACAGCCGACAACGGCAACTTCTGTCGACGGTGACGGTAATCCGGGATGGGGTAGAGCAGAGGCCTCAAAAGGTCCACCGAACGCATCTCGCAAGAGCTTCACATCGATCGGCTTCGTTCACGAACATCCAGAAGTCGTTAAAGTGCCGTCTCTACAGTACTTACCGCTCCTGGTCCAAACGTCGAGTGTCGATTTGCAATCATATGGAAGAGTTTGTCGCGCCCTGGTCCCATCGGTTCGTGGAAGTCCGTCGCCGACAGACCGCGTCGAACGATCGGATTCCGAGAGCGTTCGACGAAACGGAACCTCGAACCGCCAGAAAGGAGTTTATCGGTTCACCGCGTAACGATAGGCTGCCATAACGCACCAGGCGTGACGGTGCGTCACGGCGTCTCCGTCTGGTTCGACGGGACCAGACCGCATTCGTTTTCCCGTTCGATCGACGTTCGACGAAGACGAGCATCTTGCGATGCCGAGAGACGAGACACGGACCATCGTCGCAAACACATCCGAAGACGTCGAAGGTGAACCGATGCACCCGGAAGACGGTGCACCCCTGCCTCACCTAACCGAATCTAGAAGCATGGTATCCCCGTCTTTGGATGGGAAGAATAGACCCGATGAAAATGCCACCCCACGTTCAATGTCCTCCAAGACGACGTCTACCGTGAAACCGCCTTGCCCAGCCGAGCCGGAAGTCTTCATCGAAGAGACGCGTCAAAGCAGGATCCGGAACCGGAATCGTGTTCCCACTCGTGTGGGAGTCTGGATGATCGCTTTTACGACCGTTTCCGGGCTAACGATGCACAGATCCCACCAGCAACACCTCGCATCTGCAGGCCGCTGTTGCGCATAGGACGACGACGAAAGACTTCCTGACCTTCGCGTAGAAGAGAGACGAAGACGAGACTTTGGGTAAGTGTGAAGATCATCGGGTCGAGGGGAAGATGGGAATTAAGATGGCGAAAATGGGGCGACTGGTGATCCCGGCGGATGAAAGGAAAGCCCACAAAAACTGAGAGTCGACCGTGAAGAATGAGGGGGGAAAGAGAAGAAAAGGTAATGCAGGGTATATATACAGGGGATACGGGAGGGTAGATGATGATCGATCAATCCCTGGTGACCCATTATGAAGATTAAAGAATCAATGTCCGCCGTGCGTTATTCCATCGGGGATTTCGTTGCCTCAGACCCCAGCATTAACCATAACGATTACGCCCAGCTTGAACCGTTTCTGTCTGTGTCCAGAAGACGATGAAAGAGAAGGCAGAGAGAGAGAGAGAGAGAGATTCCATTCTTTCCTTTGGCTTCTCTTTCCGATCCGATAAGATTGACGAGGGAAGGTCGTTAACGGAGAGGGAAATCTCGCCTCTATTGACACAGGGTTCTATATTGCCTGTAATGGGGCAAGGAGACCCTCCTTTTCCTGCCTTCTTCAGAGACGAACTTCATTAAACGGCCGAGTCTTCTCTCGCCCTTATCTCTTCCTGCTTCTCGACATTGATGCCGGTTGCGTCCCGATCCGAGGAGACGGGGGGGTGGGGGAGGGGGTGAAGGGGGGGGGGGGGTTTTCCGGGTGAAAACGGCGAAAAACCTCGCCAGCGAGAGGAGATCACGTCGGACGAGAGGAGTTTTAATCCCGATCGGGATTTTCACCAAAGAACTTGCACTTCCTGCAAAGCCCGATATTACATGCCACAGTAATCGCTCTTGATCTCCCTGTAGAAGATTACCGATTCTCTCTCCTCTTTGTCGTCGGTCGCCTTTCTCATTCACACGGATCGATATCGATATTCCTCTTTCCTTCTTCCTGCTGGATCCGCTTCTTCTTCCTCTCTTTTCCATCCTTCGTGCCGCCTTCCGATCCTTCCATTTATCTTGTCATACGCGTACTGCGTATAAACAGACGGTCGGAGCCGAAGGACGCACCCGACCGTTCGCGACGCAGTCGATTTCGTAGTTCGTTTTCGATCGTGTTCGGCAAGGATTTGCGGTCGCGTGAACGCATGTAAGTTGCACGGGTCGATCCGCGTATCGGTTCCTCGACGGCCTGCACGAGCGCGTTTCGTACGAACCGAATTCCGTTTCCCCTTCGATGGAGTGAGGAAGGATGGGTTAAAGGCTTCCCATTCCGAAAAGGAAGCGAGTCGATGTGTGGGTTCGATGAGAGGAGACAGATGAAGGGGAAAAGGCAAGTTGCTCTCTCTCGCTGCAGCTGTCAGGTCCAAAGGGATCATCGCTCCTTCTAAGTTTCCCCATCCGTCAGTTTGTCGAGATGCGTCCAGCGTCTTCGCTCGCACGCCTCCGTTCGACCTTTTCTCTCGCCCGTGGATCTCAGCCGTCTCGCACGAAAAACGAACGAAGTCGGTCGGATCGTCCCTTTCACGTGGGTGGGTGTTCTCGAAAAGAAAAGGCCGGAGCGAACGAAGGGAAGGGGAAATGAATGCGAAATGAGGACCTGGATGGAACAGACTGCACCTTGGCACTCTTCCAGCCAGCCACCGAAAAGACAATGGATTTGCTCCCACGGCACTAATTACTTTCTTAATTATTTTCATCTCTCCTCTACCCTTCCGTTTATTCGTCTTTACAGAGGACGGTGCGACTTAATGCGATGGACAGGACGCGATATGACGATAACGATGAGGGAGTCGCGAGCGAAGGCGAACAAGAGGCCGACTGCAAGGGAGAAAAGGGCATGGTCATGTTTTCAGAGCAAATATTTGATTCCGGGCCTCTAATATCACTGCAGGAGCTGTCAAATAACTCTTTCATCCCCTGATCTCTTCCTCCGTCTCCTTTTCCCTTCGTCCCTTCCGCACACCGGAGTGCGAACGGACCCCAGACTGCTTAAGTCAAACGGCTGATGCACGGTCGATTTGCTTGGAGGCAGGAAGGAAATTAGGGCCCAGATTCTAGCTGGATATCTCCTTCAATGCGACATGCAATATTCATGAAACGTCGGATTCCTCTTCCCTAAAATCCCCTTTTCTTCGACCAAGTTTCATAAGCGACCTCCCGATCGGGATCAGAAACTCATTTTCCTCTTCATTTCATCGGATCCCATCTCTTATGCATCCTCGATTTCTTATTACATGTTAGCTGGATTCAGTTATCCTCTTACGTTTAAGCTCCAATTTTTTTATATATAGTCTTCGTAGATACTAATCCGGATCGAGCAAACGATACAGGTAATACCGTGTGCATGGTTGTTTTATCACTTTTATCGCAGGATGTCAACGTATACTGTAAGCATGAAAAATCGAGAAGCCTGTGAAAGAGGCATCGACGCAGGGTCGACGCGCCTAAATATGTTAACGGGAAGAAAAGCGAGGACTTTTTTAGTGTCAGGCCTTCGATCCAGACGGAAGATAGCGAATAAAAGAAATATGGAAAGCATCTAGGGGGTGAGATTTAGGGGTTGGGGAAGGGGGGGGGGGGTGGATAGACAGGGCAGCAGGATGCAGGGGGGGGATGGGGGGTGGTGGGGGGGGGGGGGGGGGTCGGATGTGGAGTTAATGCGCATAGACATAAAAAGCGTGGAGACGCCTGTGCACTCTTCTCTACTCCTCCCTTCCGCCTTTGCCCCCGTACTCACTCCAGTTACTCCTGAGGCGGTTTTCCGTCATGTGTCTACAGAAGGGAAGAACGATCGTCTAAATCTCGATGGTTGGGGATTGGAAGAAGGCGGAGATGGAAGAGAGAGGGGAATTGGAGAAGGAGAGGGAACCCATGATTCAAAAATCTCCCGCCGTCGTCATCCGCACTAATACCCACCTGGAATCACGATTCTGCTCCACCAAGGTAGTGATTTTTTTTTGGTCGAGTTCGACGTGTTTGCGAGTTTACTCCGACACCCGCGCTCGAGAGGAGTCGCGTTTGGGTGTCGGAGTCTTCCGAAAAAATGTCGGACTCGAACGAAAAAGAAACTCTGGATTCTCATCGGCATTCCTCCGAATTCTAATCGCGGTTACGTTCGTCTGAATAGGTGAAGGAATGGGCGAGAAGGAACCTGTTGTTGATTTTGACGGTGGTCGGGGTGTTGATGGGTGTCTTCATCGGGTTCATGGCCCGAATGACGGAATATTCGGAAGAGACCGTCATGCTTGTCTCTTTTCCCGGCGACATTCTCATGAGAATGCTGAAAATGCTCATCCTTCCGCTCATCGTCTCATCTCTCATCTCAGGTCATTTTATTTCAAGGCATATTCTAACCTCGGGGCTTCCGTGAAAACGTGAAATTATCGGGTGCAAGAATATGTTCTTCCTCGATTCAGCCTTCCGGGCTGCTGAAAAAAAAAGAAGCGACGCCGATGAGCCCAAAATAAGCTCGAAGGAACGCGGATTTTCGATTCCGATACCCATTCGAACGGGCGAGAATCGGAAGGGGAACAAACTTCTTTTTTTTTTCCCCAAGGAGTTTTGCTGACTGAGGCGTATTCTCATGGAATATCCAATATTCCATGACTCTTCCAACACCGAGGACAGCAGAAGCAGAGGAACGAACGGAACGAGTGCAAAGGAAGGAAACGATGCCTTTTTTTTCCCCACAGGGTTGAGTCTCGTGACTCAGCGAGGCGTTTCTTATGCAATCACGTCATGATCTTTCTGGTTCTCCAGATATTCTGCCTTCGTCAGTCGCGCCTGCAAAAAAAGAATGTATATAACCCATATTCGTGCACTAATTGCCCGTCTTCATCCAAGCCCGGATCATCTTCCAAGATCTAGCTCATTAGAGATGATAGACTTGTCCTTTCCTCGTGTGCATGGGATCATCACATCGCGGACGTGACGAAAAACCTCTTATAATCCCAGGACTGTGCGGGTTGGACGCGAAGTCATCCGGCAAGATGGGATCCCGAGCATTGATTTATTACTTCGTAACGACGATGTTGGCAGGAATCACCGGAATCGTAGTCGTGCTCTTGATTCACCCCGGGAACCCAGAAGTGAAGAAGATGAAGAAACAGGAAAACAACGAAAGGGTGAAGGTCCTCGATGCCTTCCTCGACATCGTTCGGTCTCTCTCGCATCCTCCTCTCTTGGTTTTTCAGTCCTTGTTTTAGGCGTGCACGACTGACGCTGGCCGTCTGATATTAGGAACATGTTCCCGGATAACCTGATCAAAGCGACGTTCGAGGGCGTGAGAACTTCATACGTGAGGAAGGAGAACGCCACATCGGACGAGGATTTCACTCGACACATCGTACACATCAACGGCATCAACGTGATCGGTAGGGAGCCTCTTGGAATCACTCGCTCCTTGCATGCCCTCACTCGGTCCTTGCATGCTCTCACTCGGTCCTTGCATGCCCTCACTTGGTCCTTGCATGCCCTCACTCGGTCCTTGCATGTCCTCACTCGGTCCTCTCATGTCGTCCCGACCGATTTCTGTCGGATGTTTCCGTTCCAGGGCTGATCGTGTTTTGCGTGGCATTTGGACTCGTGGCGGGTCAAATGAGGTCCTCGGGGCAGGTCCTCATCGAGTTCTTCGTCGTTCTCAACGATTGCATCATGAAGATGGTCGAACTCATCATGTGGTGAGTGCGAGTCTCGACTCTTCCCGAGACTTTCGTAAAGATTCCGAAATAAACGCCTTATGGTACGGATGGAGACGACGGGAACGTGGACTCGAGGCGTGGGTCTGTCTATGTTTCAGTCCACGTAGGCAAAGACTGTAGCAAATGCTAAGTTGGGAAATTCTTCTCTTTGCCGTGGGTAGACCTTTTATGGTTTTGGGATGCCACCTATCGACTCGAAGGTTCAGTGCAACGTCTAGTTTCTGGTTTCCTCTTTCTCCTTGGGCACGAAGGCGCCCACGTCGTCAATTCCTTCCACTCCTTTTTCGCTCGGCGTCCTTAACCTACCTCAGTTATATAATATAAGGCAAGTACCTTCGACTTCCTGGTGTTCTTTTTGATCGTTTTATCCTATTGAGGCTAATCGTTTCTTGACTCTTTCTCGGGTTTCGCGGGAACGATTCACCAAAAATGCGACCGGGTCGATCCCACGCGTTCTTCAACGCCGGAATAGAATCGACTGCGCACACTCTGGAACGTGTTCACGCTTCAGACGATGGGATTCGAGTCGAAGCCTTGTCTCGAGATGAAGGTTGAAGGCTTTTACGAGAAGCGAGAGGAACGTCTGAAGTTGGAGATCATTTTCTTCCCTTAGTATCGGTTTAGTTATTCGTCGCGCCAGGCACGGTCCATAAGGACGCAGTAATCGGCCCTTCGAGAAGAGAAAGGGAAGCGAAAACGAGACGATCAACAAGTGGCAAGCAAGAGCAAAGGGAAAGAGAAAGAGAGGCGAAGAATACGAGCAAGCACGACGGCCCACCGATCCGAGCCGCTTCTCTAAATCTCATCTCTCTTCTCGGGAGTTTTTACTCCTTCGAGTCGTGAAGGCGTGGAATTTCATTTCCAACAATGGAAGTTCGCATTATTTTGGAGATAAAGGCGTTTTGCACCTTTGCGTTAACCACAGGGTCTTCGACGTAAGAACTCCTCGAGTGTTGAGTAGAGAGTAGTTATCCTCATCTTTTCAAACATGAAAACATGCATATTTCCAAAAAAAAAGGGAAAAAATCTTACTTTTTCGTCCAAAATTCAATTTCACAAAATCAAACATGTCGGGTCACAATTTTTCATTTTGATCCAGCTTGCCTGAACTACAACCTATTTGAACGAATAGATCATCACCGAAGAGCCCTTTTCGAGATCTATTAAGCGGTACCATATAAAACAGGTTTTGTGCAATTGTAACCGCAAGAACAGTCTCAAAAGATATGATCCTTATAATGATCATACGCCATGAAAGGGTTAAAGGAAAGCATCGAGAGGGGAAATAAGTTCAATTAGACCTGAATGAGGAAGGGGTTCAAGATGTGTATACGGTGTTATTTAACACGATGAATATGGTCAATGGTCATAGCTGCACCAGTAAGACGGTGGAGGGGGGGGGGGGGCGTCGAAAGGGTGATTTATCTCAAGGGTGGTCCCAATAATTTATGCATTTACTTTCTCTTCTTCCAAAGGAATTCTTTTTTTCCTGACTCAGAAACCCCCCCCGAGCATCACTTCGATGGTAATCAGTTGAAATGCTACTAATGTTGCCAATCAGCCTTAGCTTTATAGTGTTTCAGTAAATAGTGGCAGGAATTGAAGCTCTTCCTTTCGGTAGTGATCTTACAGGTCTTCCAAATGGATCTGCACTCTAGATACATCTAGGTACATGGATTGCTACTACTTTTTCCTTTCACCGTGTCCCCTTTCTCCTAACTTTTCAGACTGAGTCGCCTGTCTATGGCATTAAGCTTGAAATAGTAAACTACCGGGACCGAAACACGAGTGACCCAGGATTCCCGAAAAGAGACTTAGACTAATTCTCTCGTTCTTTGGCAGGAGACCTAGGGAAATATTAGCAATAATAAAAAAGTATAATAATAATAATAAAACAAGATCCGCAAGAAGGCCCGAACCAGTGTCGACTCTGTCCTTAGCTTTGTGCGCTTCTGCTCGACCACCCTCTATCATTGGCAGCTAGAGGACGAAACATTCCAACGGCTCCGTTTAAGATACATGCGTCGATCGGCGGGATACCCACAGCGATAGAGCGAACTTTTCAGTTCGGCAGTGAGTAGTACTAATTGGGCTGCATGGAAAAGTGGTCGGAAGAAGAGGAAGACTAAAGAACTCTTTGATTTGTTGACACCCATGCTCTGAAAACCTGATGTGCCCATGTCGAAGGCGTAGAAAGGTGCGCCATTGGAGAGAGAGAGAGAAAACAATCGCCCTTCTAAACGAGCCTTCCCGCTCCATCTCACCATGAATCGTCTAATTGTCGTCCATTCCTCACCTTCATCTCTGTATCTAGCATCCCAGTGACCCATTTTTTTGTTCCCTGGGAAATAGCCTGTCACCGAAAGAACGAGAAAAAAATGGCAGAGAATACGCCTCATCGTAAATGAACCAGAGCCAATCCTATTACTTGCCCCCCCTTGTCTCATTGTTTAGTTAAAAGTCCCCTTCTGCTTTGTTTTACATCTGTCACGAGTCGACGAGAATTTAATGCGCTTTCGCCCAGGGGTGAGGCATAGATGGAAGCGGAGTCATACCATTAATTATCTGTCAGAAGACAGAGATAGCTTCTGTGGGTGAACGAATGGGGATGCGGACCGAAGCGAAAAGGACACATACGAGCATTCCCTCCCGACGTGCCCTACATGGGATACGCGGGAGTTGTTAATTTTGAGCCGAGAGGTCCCCCTTTCAGTAATAGGTGACGAAAGTGGACGTGGAGAAAGGCGAAGAGGAATCGGATGAGGGAGGGCTTATGATGAGGATGCCGATGTGCGCGTGCCATATAGGGGGATTTCACAGGGTATTGTGTTAGAGACAGGAGAGCCGTTCGTGACAAGTACAGAGGAAGTTAGGAGACAAGGAGAGTATTATACTGCAACAGACGAAGCTAATTGAGTGCGAGAAAGCGAAATAAATCCCCTTTTCTCCCATTTCCCACGTCAGACACGTGCCCTTATCCATGCAATCGAGACGAACGAAAAGCCTCTTCCTGCGATGGAATTAAAAATCGAGATCATGTATCTCTAAACTGGATACAGGATAGCGATCGATCGAATGCGATCCGAGCGGAGCGGAACGCAAAGGTGAACGTCAACGAGAGGCAGAGACGACGGTGTAAGGAGCGCCTCGGAGAGTGGAAAACCTGGAAATGCGAGGAGAATCGACGACCAGGACTTCTCGGCGGCGCTCTTCCGATCCCCGGTGGGAATTCTTCGCGAACCAAGGGTGATGGAACGTCTCGGCCACGCTGATCCGCTTCGACGAATCCGGCTCCAAGATCCCCGACACTAAATGTTTCAGCTCCGGAGAAAAGACCGGCTCGAAGCGGGGGAGGAAATGCCAATTCCGTCCCATTTGGTCTTGCAGCATCGCACGGGGATCGGAGTCGTCGAAGGGCATGGAAAAGTTGAGGATGACGTAGAGAATCACCCCGGCTGACCACATATCCGACTTGTAAGGATCGTATGGCCGCCCGCGAAGCACTTCTGGGGCTGCATAGGCCTTCGAACCGCAGAAAGTCCGACTTAATCCTCCGGGTTCCCGGAGGTAACGTGCAAAGCCGTAATCCCCTATCTTCAGGTTGAATTTTGCGGTGAGGAGCATGTTCTCGCATTTGAGATCCCGATGAACGACGCGGTTTCGGTGCAGATATCCGAGGCCGGCAACGAGTTGCTTGAACCAGACGAAGGCCTTCGCCTCCGTCTGGGCTCCGTATCGGCGCAGATAATCGAGGACGTGTTTGTTCTCGCAATGCTGCATGAAGACGTAAATCTTGTTGCCCCGTTCCAAGATGCTGTGAGTCCTGACGACGTTCGGGTGATCCAGCCATTTCACGATCTCTAGTTCTCGGGGCACGAAGTTCTCGAAGTATGCCCCGGGGACCCGAGACCGATCGATGACCTTGCAGGCAAGCCTCGACAGGTGATCATCGTGGGAATTCCGATAAGTTGCAAGAAACACCAAGGAATATCGGCCGCTGCCTATTCGGACTCCGATTTCGTATCCCCTCCTCCCCAACGCCTTCCTTTCCTCGTATCCCTTCCCTCTTCCTTCTCCTTGGCCTTTCCTCCCTCCCTCTCCTCTGTCAGACCCTTGGCGTCCGCCTTCGTCATCCACGGAAGCCATGAAGCAGAATTACAATACTGGCATCATCAGAGGTCAAGTCTGGATGATCCGATCAGAGATGATTCTCACCAGACGCCTTGGATCGGAAGGGGCTTGGATACTCCGTCGGGAACATGATCGGCTTTCGATCGATGTTCTATAAGTTCTAGTCGTTTCCCTGCCTCACTCGTCGATTGACGATTCGATTCCTTCCTCTAAAAAATTTTGAAATGGCCGTTTGAAAGCCTGGGATTTTGTGTGGATCTTGCCTGGACGTCGTCTTGGAAACGGTACAATGATCATTCCAGGTACTCACCTTTCGGAATCATGAGCCTGATCGCGGGGAAACTAATGGAGATCGAAAACCTGGCAGAAACGGCGGAAATGTTGGGTTTGTACATGGTGACCGTGATCGTGGGTCTGCTCTTCCACGCCTGCATCACCTTGCCTGGCATTTATTTCTTCGTGACTCGGAAAAACCCTGGCGTCTTCTTCAAGGGTATGCTCCAGGCCTGGATCACGGCTCTCGGCACTGCTTCCAGGTTCACTTTCGGCATTTTTTTCTCTCCGGTTACTTGCTCTTTAGCTAAACTTGAAGAAACAAAGCATTCAGAAGAGCACCAGAACGTTCGCCTAAAATTGCAAGCTTAAAAAAAAACTTTTAGACGATATTGTTTCTATTGAGCAGCAATCTTCAAGCAGCAAGCGCAGCAACAACTTATAAAAGAAATAGCTGTCAAATACCTATTACCTAACAGTAGCATCCAATAATGAATTTATGATCCATCGATCGGCGAAATTCTCTCCCAACCCGTTATTTTCCTGCTCTAGTTCGGCGACTCTGCCGATCACATTTCGCTGCCTGGAGGAGAACAACGGCGTGGATAAGAGAGTGAGTCGCTTCGTGGTGCCCGTGGGAGCCACGGTGAACATGGACGGCACTGCCCTCTACGAGGCCGTCGGCGCCATCTTCATCGCGCAAATGAACGGCATCACCCTGAGCGCCGGACAGATCGTGACCGTCAGGTAGGAGACGACCGATTCCTCCTCTCGGTCACCTTTGCCTCTCGTTCACGTGACGACGGATCGATGGGTGCAGTTTCACGGCGACGCTGGCGAGTGTCGGGGCGGCGAGCATTCCGAGTGCAGCCCTCGTGACGATGATCATGGTTCTCTCTGCCCTCGGCCTTCCGATCAACGATGTCTCCCTCATCTTTGCCGTCGACTGGTTCCTGTCAGTCATTCTCTTATATCCTTATCGAAGATTGCGTTTTCATTCTAAGCACGATTGCTTGCTTCAAGTGCGAATGATAAAAGAAAATTGTGACTATTACACCAATTACGCCCGTAAGGAATAATAAGTCCAATTATGCTGCCATTACCCCATAGACAGACCTTTAACCCTTTGAGTGGCTTGCCCGAGGTCAGCTCGTTTGCACTAGGGAATAGAGCTATTGCAGTGGCTCGGCCAAATTCTGTGCGGTAAAGACGCTTGTTGCGTTCGTTCTCAGTGGTACTGCCATCTATGGGCATATTAGAGAACCGGAGGTCTTATGGTCTATGGCAGCGGTTCCCAAACTGTGGTACGCGTACCACTGGTAGTACGTGAGGCAATGCAGGTGGTACGCAAGAGGTTTCCAAACTTATTTTAAAAAAACTTGCGCAATAAAGTACTAGTTTTATATACTTCGTGGTATATACAAATGTGGGACAAGTGGTATTACGCTACGTATGCACTCTGGAGGCAAGTGTTACGCAGAGGTCAAAAGTTTTGGAATCGCCGGTCTATGGTACTTGCAGTTTATGGGCGGGAAATAATTTAATGCAAAAAGTTATAAGTGTGCTTATTTTTAATTTTTAGCGGACCGAATTTGGTAGCGTCTTCTGTCGCGATTTGCGAATTTCAGTTCTGATTTTGGGAAAATGCCGCCGTTTTCGGATTTGTCAGATGGAAGTGGCAGTCATGCTGACTTATCTGGCGGACTCAGATGATGCTTCAGGGAGTTTAGAATCCGAATTTGTCATAGAGGACGAACGTGGAAGTGAGAGAATACAGTTTAAAAATAAAAGGCCGCCGAAAAGGTTAAAGAAGGCAAGGCTCTTCCTACTTGTCTTGTCCTACCTGTCGCAGAGCTAAATTTCGTTCAGACCTGAGAAAGAAGAGGGGGGGGGGGTATTACAGGCGTTGGGGTAGAAATGAAAGAATTGTAAACCGGGACGCAATGCACATGCGTGGTAAGATTGTAGAAGATAGTCAGCCTGCTTGGCTCCCATCCCCGCTCCACCCGAAGGAAACTTTTCACTTCTATTGCTCGCCTGTCATGCATAGTGCGAGATACCCAGTGATCGGTCTGTTAAGAGTCTTTTTATCAGTGATGAGCCACGGCGCATAAAAATCCCAGTAACTAAGCATGTTTAGCGTGCGCAACCCTGCAATGACATGTATGCCTGCAGGAGTGTGCATGCTACGCACGCTTAATTATTGGGATTTTTATGTGCTATGCTCCATCACTGTGCATTTTACCCAACGCGACAAATTATTTAAACTACCACTGTTTAGCTGGCCTCGGCAGATTGGCAGATGTGCCACTCTGCCCTGGCCGAAGAAAAGCCGAGAGAGGGACGGGGACTCAATTCTCGTCCATTCAAGGCTTCTCCATCCACAAGGAAAGTCTTTTTGAAGGAGGCCTCGTCTGCAGTTTCGCTCTTACTAAAAGCAAAAGCTAAGAATGGACTCCAGAGAAGTCACTCGTCACTGTCTTCCCTCGAATCTCTTCTATTCCGTGTTCTCTAAGCTGCAAAAATTCTGGAGAGCTTTAAAGATTTATTCTTTTTTATGATAAACCTCATCACACTCATATATTTCCTATTTTCAGTAAGGCCCATCATCTAATCGGTAGGGAAGCGACTCAGTAACTTCAATCGAGAGAGAAAAACGGAAGAAAGAAAAGGGAAAATAAAAAATGCCGACTGCACACAATTGAAATAGGGAGACGAGCACACGAAGCAAGCGAGACCCTGCCGTCCACTTCTGCTCAAGAGTCCTGTGCGCGCAGCTTCTCGCTTCACTGTGGCCTTGCCGTTGAACGTTAAACCATTTTTCCCCATACCCTATCTCAGATTTACGTCTATGCTAAGTTTTACGGTTCAGCTTTCTCGCGTTCCGGAGAACTTTCGGACCATAAAACGTACCAAAAAGAATCGACTTCACCAAAGGTTTTGGCCTGATCAAAGAACGAATCTTAAATTCGAAATTATTTAATCATGCGAAATTATTAAATTTTCCCGGTTGCGATACTAGACCTACCACTATGCAAAATGTAATCACTGAATTTTGCATAGATTCCGAGAACCTTTGGACATTTAACTACACATTCATCCGTACAAAAAGTGTGAATTGATACTTCCCGCTCTTGCTTTCGGCGAGTTTACTCGTGTTGGAGTATTTTATCAAATTCGATTTTGAGACCGAAACTGAACAAGTTCCTTTGTTGTATCCTAATTTGGAGTCCTTCCAATCTGAGATTAATAATGTTACACGAGATATTTCATTTAACTTTGAATAGTGAATTTCTTCACAGGTGATTTATCATTTTCGCAGGATTTTTGCAGGATATTCTCCGAAATCTTGTTTCCTTTCCTTCGTACTGAAAATCATTACACGAGAACGGATGGACGTGCAACCAAGGAACTTTGCATAAATATTACTTTCGAAAGATCAACGTAAATGGTAGTTGGCTTGCTTTCACTTGTATTCTGTCTTCTCATATGCAAGTGCTGGAAATGTGTACGTCTCACTCATAATCGTGCCTCGCGGATGATGTTGTCGGTCACAAGACTGAAGATGTCTGAAGGAATTCCAACGATCTCGTCTTCGTTTTTTTTTTTTCCTGAAGCTGGTCCAACGTATATGGACCGTCCTTATGAGCCTTGTCCTTTATTAAATCCTTCAGGAAACAATCTTCCTCTGGGACCTTTTAGATTTCATCGTTCTCTTCTCGCATTTCGACATAGTGAAATGTAATGACTCCATGTATTCCCTTGGGAATAGCCACCTCAACGGATACGATACGTTTTATGTCGGAATCGGCCGCGTCGACTTCGTGTTTTCCAAATCTTTCCACCTTCTTTTCAAGTCTTCATCAGTCTTTTACACTTTCTTTCGAGAATCTCAAGGATTTGTTTTATTCTACCTCTTCTCTTTCCTTCAGCAGTTCTTGCAACACAATATATTCGGAGGGGCATGGTAGCAGGAGAGGACTAACAAAGTAACTCGATCTGGAAGCCGTTATATTGACACTTGTGCACGTTTCTCGAGGAAATGCGACGTGCTCGAGTGGAATTCCCTCTACGAATCATCATGGTAGAAAGACCTTAATGGTTTAGTCCTGGGATTTTGAAATCGATCTTGAAGTTCTCGAGATGATGTCGCTAATTCCTACGTAGCACTGCTGGCTCCAGACTCACTGCTCGTAACGAGCTTAGTTTAGTAAATGCTTTCCGAAAATTTACAAAACATGTACCATTTTGAAAATATCTCAGCAATATGGGTACCGCGAAAGATTTCAACGTGTTTACCTCATATGTTGCAACGTAGAGGGAAATCGAAGAACAAGAGCACCTCAAAAGCCAAAGAATCTTGTAACACACGGGGGACACGACTAATGTAAATTCTGCTTTCACACTCTCATCATTTCCTAATTGCCATGTCATTTTAGCGAAGAGGAGAAAATTCGTGAAAGACAGACATGCACCAACTCTTCTTCCTGAAGAGAATAATAAAAAGCTTAGTGGCTCCATCGAGACTTGACGAAGTTTAGATCTGTGGAACGCAAAAGTGGAACTCTTGCACTCCTAGTATTGGGGGTTATTATTCCAATAGGGACTTTTGACACATAGCAAGCTTTAAATAACCAGGAGGGCAGTGGCGGCTCATGATATTTAGCGCTAGTGGTTTGTCTATGGAGAGGGGATAGGCAGCGCCCTCCCCTGACTACCCTCTCTCCATTGACGAACCACTAGCGTCACTGCACTGTCATTGTCACTGCAGGAGGGGAAGAAAATCAGGAAAATCAGCAATTCAACCCAAATCCTATAATATATGCGAAGAACACAAATTAGTCAAGTTATCTTGCTTGCCTGGTAAGGAAAATATTGAGTGGTTATTCTACCAACTAAGATAGTAAGGATATCAAGTTGCATACGTTGAAAAGGTCACCCTACCATGTGATGAGATTTTTTAATTATCGATCATAGTAATAGTTTCATGATCTGTTTGCACCCAAGCACAATGTTGCTCAACAATGATAAGATCCAGTTGGCAAAGTCACTAAGAGGCTTCCTCTGAGCCTCTCGCCCTCTATTCCTGGTGAACGAGCTCCAAATCCAGTCTCCAACTGATTAATACCATATTTGCAAGAGATTGGATTCAGTTCACGTAACAGAATAAGAGTTGCGGGGCCACGGTCAATCAATTTCCTAAATTTTTGGTTATTTACCTTCGACTTCTAAGATGTAGAATGTATCGAAGCACTTCTTGTGCGATAATTGACAGTTGCAAAAGCAAAATATGGGATATGGGATGAGCCCCGTTCTTGTTCTGGCTGTGACTTCGTTTTTACAGTTAGAGATACATCTTTTATATAATGGTCTTCCATGATTGAGGAAATGTGCCCTTCATGATTCTGCCACGTCAAACTTCTTTCCCTCTATTGTTTGCTTCGTGGACGAACTCTAAAGTCCACTCGTCCTTCGTCCCCGTGATGGTAGGGACCGGCTGAGGACGTCCATCAACGTCCTCGGAGATGCATATGGAGCGGGGATCGTGTATCACCTGTCCAAGGACGAACTGGCCAAGATGGATCAAGAACGAGCAGCTGAGGAGCAGATGGAACTGGAGCAATTCGGGCTGTCGCCGCCACCACCAGGTCCATCCGGCCCGGCAATAGATCGCGGCCGGCGACTGAGTCGCGTGAGTCTTCAGCTGGCCAAGACTCACCTGAAGGTCTCGTCTCCCTCTCCCACCCAAACTTACCCTGACCCTCGTGGCAACGGCATGTCTCTCTTCCTCAGTGTCAACAATCCCAATCTCAATTCTGAAACCCAAATTTGAAATCCTTTCCTTCTCCTCTCTTTACTGTCATCTCATCTTGTGATACCTGTACACAGTCTATGATGATGTTGGTTCTCGTCGTATCCTTGGGGTCGAGCTTAGTAGGCTCAATTGGCGTCTTGCCGATGTAACGATGCCGGTGAAATGTGAATCAGTGCCAGTGATGGCTAGCGTTGTCGATATCATCCTTATAAGAAATGGGAAGAATCCACCATATCTATTTGATATCAAATTAAGAATAAGAATAAGTTCATGGATTTCACTGACAGTCTCAAAGTTGCGTAGATTCTGTCACATGGCCTTAAATCGAGACTTTCACGATATCGATAGATGGAATTTTCTTTCGTGTTGCTGTAGTCTTCCTTTCTCTTCGTCTAATATCTCTTTCTCGTCCTCGTCGATGTTGTCTGTGGTGGTGAAAAAACAACATACACAAAAGCTTCCAGTTTCTGTACAGCATTTCTCATTCGTATAGGCTTCGTTGCAGCGAGGCTTTGGAAATATTTGGTGCTATGTGATAGCATGTACGATCCTACAACTGACATTTCTTTTTTAATCGTCCTTTTTTAATCGTTTACTAATAATTTGAAAAATCAGTCATCTCCTATTTTCGTTGATGCTATCGTGAGAGTTTTTATCACGATGTTAGTCGAGAGATATAATTACCGTCAGTTTGTGGCGTTCTGTCTTCGTCTTTCCAGCTAATTGCAATAAACTGTTGTTTCACAACTGTTCGCTTCCCTCGTTTTCCCCCCAGTTTTAACTTGTTTCTCACATTCTGATTGATGAAAAGCCACTGAAAAACATGTATTTAAGAAAAAAGACATGTAGTACGCATCTTGCCTTGGAGCACTAAACCGATCTAAGTCTCGGTAAACGAGTTCAAAAGTCAGGCTACAATGAGAAGTGCACTTGATGGGATAAGTTTCTATTTTAAGCCATATACGTCGGTGTCAGTGGGATAAAAAGGCATTTAGAAAGCACTTCAATATTGATTACGTTAATGAAAACAGTGACAAAATACTTTCCAATATCACATACGACGACGATGGCACAGTCATTTTTTTTTACATGAGGTGACGAAAGCTACTTTGAGATGAAATGAATTATGGACTTACGGGACGTGACGAAACGATGCTAAGGCACCATATTCACGATATCAGACGAAAATCAATATTCTTACGAGGAAATTAAATGAAACCAAGTTTCATAATGAAGGTTGACGAAAACGATGGTGTTACGATTGCAACCGATCGTGTGGTCAGATGGCAACACTGATGTGAAATATGGGGTTCAAGATGGTAAGGTGCCGAAGGAAGGAGAGTACAGTACTGTTAGAAGTTTCTTTCAATTCAATGAAGTGAAATCACAAGTTGACGAAGTTGCGACTCTACTGTATACTAGTACGTGCGTATATACCTTGCTGCAGCTGGCAAAAAATGAATTGAAATTCACGACATGTACCTTTTCTGTTTAAAATATGACTGGATAAAATGAAATCCAACAGACCGATTAAGATTGAAGTGCAACCGGATGCTGCCGTATAATCCATGAGCCGGACTGCATACCCTTGCCACAGCTATTCACTGCAGAAGAAGGATATATATCTCCATTTTCTGTGGTAAGATTTATTTCTATTAGAGGGCGATGAGATGAAATAAGATGATCCCCCAACTGCTACTGAAGCGGTCTCTGGAAGGAGCTTATATCCCGCTGCGAAGGAGTACAGGATTAGCGGCGGGAGTTTATTTTCTCGAGACAGAAGTCTCTCTAACCCAAAACTTCACGCGAAGAGGACATATCCAACCAAGGCTCTGCGTGAGACAGGAATGGGCAGTATTTCTTCTTTGTCTACATGTGAATCTCGACAAGAACATATTAAAGTATATAAATAAAGCATTAGGATGCCTTCAAGCCGCTCCAGAGATAAGGCCTTTCGTAGAGAAAGCAGGAGTCATGTCCAGAATCCAAGGAATCTGAAGAGCATCCTGTTGGCATTACAAATGATAAAAATATGTCCAGTAGAAACTGGACATGATATTCATACTCAGATTCCGCTTTCTAAGCTTTCATGATTCGTGGAAGCAGCGATTCCGATTTTCTGCCGCTGTGGCTCCATTCAAATGAATTCCATCTGTGACAGTAATTAAAGTTAATACGTTACTTCATTCTCCAATACGATAATCTTGACTAATCGCGGAAAACATTACTAGGTGGCACATTATCACAAAGGAACAAAGAGCTGCCATTAATTATTTTACCAACAAATGAGACAACGCTACCAGCGTTCAAGAACAGTTTGGAAAAGTGTGTGGTAAATCTGCTCTTCCATTGAGCAAAATTCCAAGGTAAGTGCAACAGTTTCGAGAGCAAGTCGGCTGTACATTGTTCTTCTTTTGAAAAATTAGTCAAATTTAATCGATTGATTTAACCAATACACTTTTAATGTCATTATTAAAAATTAATGGCATCAGGTACAATGCTGAAATTTCACGATCTCACACAAGCGCAGAAGAAACATAGCTATTAAAGTAATAAGGATTGCATTGCTGCTCCAAGAAAGATCAAGAGGTGTGCTGCGATGATCGCTACTAATAAATAATAAAAAATAATAATAATAAAAATTCTTGAGAATGTCATGCATTTGCTCTTACTACACCAGTGGATGGTGAAGATTTTCAGAAATTTTCTGCCCTTTCCTTTCCCTCTATTAGGAAACACCCTCGAGAAAGACAGACTGGTCCACTCATATCTGTGACCATAGCCAACTTCTGGGACAGCATACTTTGCGATAGGATTTCTATCCTACTGGGCATAATTTAATCTACGAGTTGTGAATGGTTCAGAACTACTCCCATAAATTCATTAAATAAAAACGTAATCATAAATATGCGCTTCCTAAAATCATTAGTGTATCTACGAGATGGGGTAGAAAAGTTTGTAGACTTTATTTTTATATGTAGAATGCTTACTCCTAAAATCCCCACTCTCAAAGGGTGGGAACCCTGCCTGGCATAGCTTTAGGATATCAGATTTGTAGCCTTTACCAGAGCAGAGTTAGACAACATATGTGGCGAGGGCGTGTACGGACAGCGTAAAGTAATAAAATTCCTGGTTTCTGAGGGTGAGGAGGCCTCATCAATCTTCCGACGACTGCAAAATGTCTATAAAGGTAAGTGTTTAAAGAGGAGTGCCGTGTTTGAATGATTCAAGAGTGGACACATCAATTGAAGATGACCCGCGCTCGAGCCGCCCAGCACGTTTATCACTGATGTCAATCAAGAACTTCAATAATGTTATGGAGAGGCCTTTAGTTGCTGGATAGTTGCTGGTAGGGAAAATGCATGGATGTGAAGGGAGATTACGTCAAAAAATAGCCCGAGTTTGGAAGGTCAGTGTCTCATCTTTCTCGTTATAAAAAAAAAAAATTCCGCGAACTCTTCTACCCCCCCCCCCCTCCCTCGTATTTTTTTTTTTTAAGTCAAGAGCTAACGTGTACATTTATGGATTATGAACCCAGGGTGTGGGAGGCGCCAGGAAATGTGAGCCCTCGCACCGAAATGTGAATCATTGCCGATATTCGTATTCCCTGATTTGATCAGTCATTTCCAGACAACGATTTCCGAAGAGCATTCATATGCTTCTGGAACTGCAAAACGCAAGCCAAGTCGTGTCACAGGATGTCTATTTCTTTGACCCATTGAATAGCGCTTGCTGATCTTTTCATTTTAGAAAATATAAATCATCCCAACATCACTGTCATGTGCTGGATTATGCCGATTTTTCTTTTTCTTTCAATAATAAAAGTTGTTCGCTCACACTAGTCAATTTTATGAAGTAATTGAAGCTCAATGCAAAAAGGTACGTGATGGAACACATGCATCATGTATAGGCTATACAGGGTAGACAAAAAAAAGTTTCTCCATTTCCTTTATTGCTATATCCATACTAACTAGTATGCGCTCTTGTAATTTAGAGGGTATTAAGTATCCTGATCGAATGCAATTTATTTCAAGGAAATACGGCTTATAGTTCGTTCACGATACTTTTTTCTAGTACGCCGAGTACGGGGTTTAAAAAATTCGCTGTTGAGCAAACATTCTTTTCTTTCATTAGCAAGGAGAAACATCCTTCAAGCTGTGTCGAGCGGTGTCAAGTCAGAACATCACCGTCAAGACATCGAAAGGATCAAGTATCGACGACAGAACATCGACACAATTGAACATCGATACGATAAAACATCGACACAACAAAACTTCAAAACGACAAAAATTCTAAGCATATTTTTTTAACTGTATTTAATGACTCATGCATATTATCATACTTCTATTGATACTTCCCCTGACAAGGCTGTTCCATATAAACGGAATACCCTCAACGAAGGGAATTGCCACCCTCAGGGAATTAGGTAAAATGTTACAATAAGGTGAGTGGGAAGAACTCAACTAGGTAAACTAAGGCTTCTCTTCCCCATGGTGGACCAGACGCATTCGTCTTTTTGAAGCCAACCTCCATTATTTAACGAATTTTTGGTAATCGGCAGACAGATACCATGAGGTGGCCGGAAGACCACGAAGTCAACTAAGCATATTCGAGCAAGGCGAACTGATCCGAAAGCAATCAAGAAAGACCACGAGCCGCGAAACGAAGAGGGGGCTATTTCAAAAGAAAACGACTTCACGGGAAATTTTCAAGACAAAAAAAAACTCAGACTTAAAAAATTCGCTTGATGATTGATCAGCTGCTTACCAGGCCGTGGTAAAATGCCAATGTGTTTTGGTGGATCAGCCCAAACTTATAAGTTTTTTTTTTTTAATGCATGCCGTAGGGGTGAATAGCTCTGTGAGAACACAATACAATTGCGTGGACATTATTGCTGTTTTCTAGGGTACTCTCGTGATCTGAACTGCTACCTCTGAAGCACACTATGTTTATCTCTGTCTCTCGATGTCCTGTCGTTTTGACACGGAAACAAGTTTATTGCCCCCCCCCCCTCTCCCTGTAGAATCAAACTCTAGCAGCAGTTCTCAACCTGTGTGCCGCTTCACCCAGGGGTGCCATGAAAGATTGACAAGGATGCCGCGGATGTTGGCAGCTTCTTGTTTTGACCTGTCACCAAAGGAGGGCAAGAAAACCAGGTTAATGCAATGCTTCTTTTGCTCGCGCAGTCGAGGAGCACTTTCTGGAGTGGCCAGCAATCCTCTTCTGAGAAACCACTTCAGTCATCAGCCTAAGCTCTAAATAAAATTTTTCCCCAAGAATACGCGATGTGAGCCAATTTTGATTGAAATTTATTGATATTGCGTATTCCTGGAATCCAAACTAATTAAGAGAGCTTATTAAGGAAGGCTGGCAAGGTCAATATTGTTACCGTAATGATGTCCTGATTACTTTTGCTACCGCATTTCTATGCCTACCTTCTCTTGTTCTTGGTACATGCAAAAAAAATCAAGTTCTGGTTCCATTCATGCATTACAAATATACCCGCATCGGGTCACTTTAAAATGTTTTGCTGTATTTCTGTGACACCGGAGCACAGATAT